CTGCTGGGGTGGTAGAACAGTGCTGGCGGCCCTGTCTGCCAGGTTGAATTTGCAAGTCCTTTGGTTCTGTTCCCTGATGGAGTCCAAGTCCTATAGGCTGAAAATAATAATAAATATGGATGAGGGCCCTTGCCCTCCAGAAACCCACAATCTAATGGGGAAGCCAGGCAAAAAATAACCTGAGAAAGTGATCTATAGCTGAGGCAAGGGCTGAAGGAGTAGAGAAGGAGTACCTAGGCCAGGGGGGGTAGGGGGATGGGGGAAGATTGGTACAGAGTGCCACACTCATGAACAGAGAGTAGAATCTTCTAGAAACGACCTCTAGCTTATTGAATTTGCAGAGTTGTGTAAAAATATACCAAGAACTTGCCTCATGCAAAACTTGTACTACTAGATGCAAGATAGTTGTGGTAGAAATGGAGGTTGCTGGGTGGGGTTAGGAAGAGTTTTGGCCCAAAGAAAACAGACAGCAAATTAAACAGAAGGCCAGATCCAAGGGCCAGGTTGAGTGCTGCTGATTTTTTAAAATTGAATTAATTACAATAAATTGGGCAAAAATTATATATGGCTTCTTACACATCTAGAATTGGCAAAGCAGACATACTGTCTGTTAGTCTAAATGATGGCAAATTTTAGGTGTCCTAGGAAGTAGGAGCTTCTAGTGATAAGCCAAGACTAAATAAAATTTCCTCTCTATTTAACCGAATGTTTGATTAAAACCTCACATGACAAGGACAAGTGTTTTTAAGAATCAGGGATCCATATGAACAGTTATCTTTAAGGCTTCGGAGGAGAGGTAGACGCAGGCTGGCTGCAGTCTGCGCTGTGACCTCTGATGATGGGCACAGCACAACTTGTGCAGCTATTCATAGTGTTCCAGAATGTCGGAATCTGAACAGGTTTTTAAAAATTGGCTTGCATTGATAATCAAATTTGGTGAGGAGCATTTTCTGGTAGGTGAAATACCATAACGACAGGTGTGTAGAGGTGGCTATGAAGATAAAGTGTGTGGAATTCGAGGTCCTTGAATCCTGTTTAGCTGTACTTAGTGTAATTGAAATCTCATAACATTGACTATGTACCTGCCCTCTAATATCATAAGCATATTGTGGGGCAGGGAAGACTGCCTCATACAACAGACCCTGATGGTTAGGTGAGAAGATATGTAGCTGTTAGCCTTGGCACATCCTATGCCAGGAACTAAGTGAAGACTTGGATTCCTGTTCTCTCCTTGATTCAGAAGTCAAGCACCTGATATTTTACTAAGCTCTTATCATATTTCCAGTGCATTTTGGGCATTAAGGGGTAATAGAGGAAAGCATTATTCCCACCATTAGGAATTGAATTCTCTTGTTGGGGAAACAAAGTTAGACCACACACAATCTAACATTAAAATGTGTGACAAAAACCATCTAGACTTCCGGACTTGGAGATATGAGTTACCAGCAGGAGTTTTGAACTGAACTTGAAACTGCAAGTTAATTTGAAGAGGAGGCTGTATGGGGCAGCCTGTATCTACTTTTCAGGGGCAAGGAAGGGACAAATGGGTGATAGACATTTGAATTATCAAATGAGACATAGTCTATTAGTCTCCTCTTTGGCTACTATTTACTTTGGTCATTTTCTTGGGGCTAGAAATATACAAGTGGCAGAAACCTGAAGTTTTCTGGACATGCTTTTTTGATACCACTGGTGCTATTCCTGCATATAGGGCTTTCCAGTTTGTGTCCCATGGAGGACACAGGGCGAGTGATAGAGAAAATGTGGCACATATACACCATGGAATACTACACAGCCATAAAAAATGATGGGTTTGTGTCCTTTGTAGGGACATGGATAAAACTGGAAACCATCATTCTCAGCAAAGTGACACAAGAAAAAATCAGACACTGCATGTTCTCACTCATAGGCGGGTATTGAACAATGAGAACACATGGACAGAAGGAGGGGAGCATCACACACTGGGGTCTGTTGGAGGGGCTAGTGGAGGGACAGTGAGGGGTGGGAAGGTTGGGGAGAGATAACATGGGGAGAAATGCCAGATATAGGTGACGGGGGGATGGAGGCAGCAAACCACATTGCCATGTGTGTATCTATGCAACAATCCTGCATAATCTGCACATGTACCCCAGAAACTAAAATACAATTAAAAAAAAAAAAAAGAATGAGGCTGCAGCCAGGATTACCCATTGGCTGCTCTGTTCAACCAACACAATTGGGATTGTCAAGATTTTCTTTGAAATTTCAACACATTGTTTCTGTTGCCAGGCAGATGAGGAAACTGAGACGCAGACAGGCAAAACAATAGCCTAAGGACACACAGGTGCCCAGGGATAGGGGGTCCACAGCCTCTCTTGGCATCTGTTTTATCTTTAAACTGACATGCTTGAAAGAGATGATCTTGGAGGACCCTCCCAGCCCCAATGTCCAGAGTCTATAATATAGCTTTTCTGAGGCCACATGAATGTGTCCTCTGTGACATCATACTGTTTCTTTTGCTGAACAAAAGTGATTTGATTCCCCAAATCAATAAACAAATTAGAGAAACAGTAGAGGGACCCTGGGAACCAGGGACAACAGATGAAAGAAGGAGGCCTGGGAGAGAGAGGGGGAGGTGAGGGAGGGACTCCAAGGAAGCGTCCCATAAAAGCCAGTGCAAGGCAGGTGGGCAGGGGGATGGCAGCTTCCACAAGCCTTTTTCATTCTGTGCTGCAGTCATCTGCCTGGGAATCTGCTCATGGGTGGGAGGGGGGGTTAGGGCAGACCCCGGAGAGGAGAGCAAAGGGGGAGGGGCTGTGTAGCGGGTGCAAGCAAAGGCTACAATGCAAATTCTCAGGAAGGCCTGAGGGTCCAGACTAGAGGGGCAGTCGTGCAGCATATACTGGGAAAAGACAGAGAGGAGTCAGCAGCTGGCTGAGGGGAGGGGGTGCAGGAGGATAAGGGAGGGAGCCCTCTGGGGAGGGGCCAGCCAGACTCTGGGAAAGGCAAATGGTAAGTTTTGTACCTCTGTGATTCCTCTAGGGAAATTCCCCTTCAATGTCCAGTTATCAAGCCAGGATGGGAACCCTTTCTGTGCACACCAGAGCATCAGCAAAAGAAGGGGCGTAGCCTCTTCGTGAATGAGTCCTTAGCTGCCTGCTGAAATAAATGCTGCTTTTACAACCTGTCAGAGGCCTGTGTTCAACGAAATAGAACACCGCAGTTCATCACCCCCACATCATCCCTTCCCCTAAATTTTTATTCTTCTAGATCCAGTTCTAACAAAGAAGCAGTTAGGAATTTTTAAAAAACACCTTTCAAATGTGTCACTTTCTGCACCTTCCTTCCGCCCCCGTGGGTCCTCTTGCCTTTTCCTGACCCAGGGTTCTGTGTGTCTTACTCTGAGTTGACAAGAACGCATTAAACATGTATCCAGCCAACGATTTAGGGAAATTGACGACCTTCTGGGGCTTGTTCTGTGTGGGGTCAGATGATAATATTGCCCCTTGGGTTAAATCCAGACAGCACTGAGGTATCTCCAAGCTGGTACTGTGCATACCCGCCATTGACAGGAGGCAGATATGCACAGCGGCACAAGCCCTGCTGCTCCTAAACTAGGAGGCGTGGATCCAAATGACTTCTTGTAGGGATTAAGGTAGAATGAAGAGCATTTAGTAAGAGACTTTACAAAGAGTGAAGGTAGCTAACAGAAGAGCATTACTTTTGAAAGCTGCAGGCTTCATTACGTTCCAAACCAGTTGGCTCACCAGGCAACCGTAGACCAAACTAGGCAAGTGACTTTCCTAGGGTCACACAGTGAAATATTGAGGCCTCAAAATTAGAACGTCCAGTCTGTGTCTTTGTCAGACCACCTCCACACAGAACTCAGGCGAGAATCTAGCTCAGTAAAGAGCTTTGCACATGAGTGTTGTCTCGAGGAGGCGAAGTGCAGGGACTATGACCACTCTTCAAAATCAGGAAGTCTTCTCAGTTGAGGAGGAACGTGGGTCACTGTTGAATGATGAGGTGTACTATGACCACACTCTCCATGCAGAAATCAACACACGTGTGTCCTTATGGGAACAACAGACAACCAGAGTATGGGAAATTAGAACTATCTCAAAAAGTCTGGCATTTATTGTCTTTGGACATATATAAGCTTTCAGACTTACCTGTTTTGCTATATAATTCACTTATGGCTTGAATGTTGTTTTAACCAGGTGTTTTTACTCAGCACCACTATTGAGTTTCATAAGTCAACACATTTAATCTCCTATTACAGGGAGATTAAATAATTTCCTGAAAGAGTAAACATCCAGGAAGCGCCAAGTCGGGATTCGAACCTTTGTCTCCCTAACCTGGCATTCTGCACTCTTCTGTTAGTCTGTGCTGCCTTTTGAGAAGCATTGTTTTTTAAATTGGAGAGATGTTTCATTGCAGAGTTTTTCACATACAAAAAGGAATTTATTCATGTTGAGATTTAGAGGATCATAAAATCACTGAACCTTAAAGAGAAAAGGACTTCAGAGTTCGTTGATCTCAACCAACTTGTTTTGCAGATGAGGAAGTGAGGCCCAGCCGGCCAGTGACATTGGCCAAGGTCAGGCGGCATTGAACCCAAGACTCCCAGCAGAGTGCGCCTTCCACTCTGACATGGGAACTCCTGGGTTTAAAACCAGTGACCATGGCCAGCGGGGTAGTGGCCAAAAGGCTGACAAGGTCACAAGAGTCTTTTGTGGGCTTTGTTCAGTGTCTTAACTCTCTCTCCCATCTCCCATCAATACTAACTACCTTTTAAAAAGATTGAAATGATACCTGCATACTTCATGCAAAGTTAAAGGCCTACAGAGATCTAAGAGGCATGAACTATTATTTCTGTGATATTTATCTCCACAAAAGAGTTTACAAAAACAATTTGAGATTTGAGATTTCTTTTTGTGAAAAAGACACACACACACTCTCTCTCTCTCTCCCTCTCTCTCTCTCTCTCTCTCTCTCTCTCTCTCTCTCTTCCCCCCCACCACCAGCATAACAGGATTACGTTTAGCAGTTAACCAGTGCCCTTCCACCATCTCTCTCTGTGAAAACATGCTACGGTGCCCTCATCATCTTACATATCCTTTTGCATTTGCTTTCACTTACTATGGTTACAAATATTTCCCCACGTTTTCTTGGTGATTTTAATTACCAGACAATATTTCATTGAGAGTGTGTGTGTGTGTGTGTATGTGTGTGTGTATACACACATTTACTTTAATGGTTTACTATTATTGTACTACTTTTGGAAGCAGTTGCACAGCTTTTTTATGTAGCTTTTTATTCTCTGAGACTGTTTCATTCAGACAGATACTTGAGAGTGGGAGTAGACTTCCCTTTTTCCTCTTGATACACGTGTCACGCTGTTTTTCAAAAGACATATAGGAATCAAAATGCTACCTTTGGTTGGAGATGGGCGATCCATCACCTGGTTTCCTTTTGAGCAGCAGTACCAGGCGCCAGATACACACAAAATTCATTTTCTCTCTCATCAGAACTTCTGAATGTTTACCTGCCATTCTGTCAGCCGAGAGAGTGTGGGTATAATTCGAACCTTTCATCCTCCCTCTGCATATCACTGGATCTTTTCTTTCTCTAGGAAGTCTTACTGTGTATGTTTCCTTCATTTGCAGACTGTCACAAAAACAGTTTTGAAAGTAGGTGGAGGTGCACATGGAAATGGAAGCTTTTTCTCTCTTTATCTTCATAAGCTCCCAAGTGGTGTCAGAGGGTACCCCTGTATTATCATCAGAGGACACGAGATCCTCAGAGGTCGACAGCCTGCTCATGGTCCCATGCAGGGCAGAGGAAGGAGACTTACATCCAGGCCCTGTGACTGCATATTTAGCATCTGTTTGCAGTACCACAAGAGTAAGTGTGTGCCTCCAGTGAGATCACACATGGCTTGACTATCTTTGTCTGCTTTGGCATACATAAAAATCCTGTCCTCAGGTTAAAATCAGGAAACAATCGGGCCCTAACAGTTTCCATTGCAAATGATCGTTTTGGTATGAACTAAGATTACATGTAACCTACATGGACACCCCTTGAAGACAAGGCAAATTGTAATGATCTCCAAACCAGCAGCAAAAGGTAAGGACTCATAACCAGGTTAGGGCAAAGAAGGATCATTCTTTACAAAAAAAAAAAAAATGTTGCCTTGCTGTACACGTCATCATTGCTGATGGCGGCAGGAGCAGACAACTGGAAGCTATACTGGTCTTGCCTGTCCTGGCAGCTTCCGGAAGTTGGTTGGTTATGGGGAGTGGCAGGGCTTGCTGGCGGCCCTTTCTGGCAGCCTCAGCAGGGGGACATTCCTCACCAGGGCAGTCCTGGCTGGGAATGTCAGGAGCCATCCAGCTGAGCGCCACGTGGCAGGAAAGCAGTCACATGACTGGGATTTGGGTTTGGGATCACAGTTCTGAACCTACAGCCTAGTCATCTCCCTGTTTCAAGGCGTTCATTTCTTCAATCACACCAGGCAGCTGAAAGTTGTAAATGTTCCAGGGGAGGACACTAGAGCGCAGTGAAGGCATCATCTTGGCTTCCTAACTCATGAAGCTTCTGACTGGGTGCCTTCCTGGCCATCAAATGCTGAGAGATCTGGCACCTGCTGGTCCTCTATGTGGGGGGGAACTGTGAGGTCCAGGCTGGTGCATGTCTCTGTCCTAAGCCCCGTATTTCTGAATGGTGGTGGGTGGGGTATGGGGACTAAGATTTAGACTTGGGCTCCTTTTGTCCCTTACAAGCTGTGCAGGCACAGGGCACAGCTTCAGAGAACCTCCATGCTAGAGGAGAATAGAGCAACAGTACCGGCTCCACTCACTTCATCATCCACACAATTTTCTGAAATGTCAACCTGGTGCTTACTTCCTGGGAATACAGGGTTGAAATGATTCTAATTCCGCAATGGGCAGAGACCATGTCTAGATCAATTATAGTGGAATACTCCATGTCTAGCACAGTGCCTGGCACATGGAAATTGCTCAGTTAACACTTGTCTTATGGACTGATTGACGATGTGGTTTCTGATTTCAGGGAACTCACAATTTAGTGGGAAAAGAAAGATGGATAATGAGTCACAATGACATTGTGGTAAATGACTTGATAAAAATGTAGAGTGGGTAGCTTAGGAGCCATCAAAGTAACATTTCCTTTCATTGAAGTAAGAGGATTACAGTTCCTTATTGGCAGGTAAGGATCTTGCTCCCCACAGGATATCCAAAGAATATATTGCTTCCCACAAAGATGTATTGACTCTGGAAACAGCATGGGTTAGTGGAAAGCAGTCTGCGTTGGGGGTAGGAAGACCTATGTTCCAGACCTCTCTTGCTGAGGGGCCTCAGGCATAATCTTTTTGTGCCACAATTGTTTTCATACATGTGATCAGGACATTAACTCCTTCTCTGCCCACCTTCCAGCAAAGGCATTGCTTAATGGGCCCTACTGGCTCCCTGCCCTCTACAGAATTAAATCCACAGGCTGAAAGGCGGAATCGAGGCTCTTCGTGGTAGTCTCCTTCCTTTTGCATCTGTCATTATGGTCACATCAGTCTCCTGGATTTCCTCAGACATTCTTTGTCTTTCTGTATCCGTATACATCCTTGTGGGGTACTTCCTCTGCTTTGAATGCGGTTTCACAAGTGGCTTGTCCAGAGACATTCTAAACTTAAATGGCACGTTCTCCTCTGTGCAGAATGGTTATGACCTCACCGATGGCTGGACCCATGCCTCTTTAGGCATCCTTCTAACGAGTATTAATTCCACCCTATTGTCTCGTTTATGTACCTTTCTTCTCTCACTGGTTTCTCAAAGACTTTATATCCCCCTGCCTATCCCCATTCCTGACACACAGCTGAGTGTTAAGTAAATGCTAGTATTGTAGTTGAATGTATTAGACTGATTTCTTCATATCTGTTTTTGCAGTGGGCAGGAAGGAACCATGGGTGGAAACTACAAAGAAGCTGATTTCAGTTGAGGGTTCAAAAGAATTTCCTCAGAATCAGAGCTGTTTAGCAAGGACCTGGGTCCCCTTGGTGTACCTGGGGACTTGTGTGCTGTCTGTCTCTAGGAACACCTGTGGTCAAGAGCTGTACCCCACATCTGTGACAGCACACCCCTCTTGTGTGGTGCTGCGGGAGCAGGAAGGCAGAAGGGGCCGGGGTTCTCTGAGGCCACTATTTAAAGGATATCCCTCTCTACTGATTAAATTCTCACTTGTCTCTCCCTTTATTTCTTTGATTTCCTGCTAGTGTTCACTCAGGATTTGTCAATTCAGTGACTGTGTTTATTTGTACAACAGTGACGTCTGTTCTGCAGAATGGAATAATCCAGCCTGAAACATGAATTCCATGACCGATTTAGGGAGAAAGTTTGCGGTCTTCATTTGTAGCCCTTTAGTTTGACCAAGCACCCCCATTGTGAGTAGAAAGTTACTTAAGATCAGTACTGTCTATCCCTAATTCCTTCGTTATCAGCAGTCCAGGCAGTATTTTGGCAGCTAAATGTTTCTGAGAGTGACCATGTCTTATCCCCTTCTATATTTTTCATACCTTCTAGCAGTGTCTTGCACATAAATATTCATCAATTTAAATTTTCCTTCTAAAATTATTGATAGTTGACACTTAACCACTGACCAGCAAAGAAGTTCCAATCAAAATGTCATGGAGTAAAGGGAATTTAAAATTTTTAACTATTCACCCCAAAATGTCCTTTAGAAATTAATCACCTGCCATGGGGAAGATACAAAGGTGATTAGGTTAGAAGCTAGACCGCAGCTCTTTGCAGCCCATTCTGCTGGCCCTACTCACCAATTAGTCTCACTCTTCAACTCCCTCTGCTAAGGATACTGAACTGAAACTTGCTGCCTATGGCAGCTACATGGAGAAGCTGTCGTTTTTACAAGTAGCATATGACAGTAGCTAGTCCACTATTGAAAACCTGGGCCTCTGACTGAGGTGCCCCCAATCTCCCCTCCCCACTAGCACACATATATATGCAGCTTGAAAGTCACCAACTACAGTTGATTTCCATGGAGTATAGACATAAGAGAGAATTGCCCGGGCGCGGTGGCTCACTCCTGTAATTCCAGCACTTTGGGTGACCAAGGTGGCTGGATCATCTGAGGTCAGGAGTTCAAGATCAGCCAGGCCAACATGGTATATAACTCCATCTCTACAAAAAATACAAAAATTAGCTGGATATGGTGGCACTTGCCTGTAATCTCAGCTACTCGGGAGGTTGAGGCTGGAGAATCGCTTGAACTCAGGAGGCAGAGGTTGCAGTGAGCTAAGATGGTGCCACTGTATTGCAGCCTGGGCAACAGAGTGAGACTTTGTCTCAAAAAAAAAAAAAAAAAAAAGAATAAGAATTTATCTTTGCCTAGCTTTTCATAATTTATTAATAAAAATAGACTACTGGCTATACAAAATACCCAGCAGAGTCAAAATCTTACAGTGGATACTGGTTACTTGGAATCTATTAGCATTTAACAGAATAAAAAGAAATAGATATCCTTGGGTTTGTTTTTTTTTTACAGGTGATAGTAATGAATAAGATCCACGCTTCTATCCATCTGAAGGAAAATACCAAATGAAACAAAAACCAATGATAGCTTCTCCCTCCCTGCTGTAACAATAACCAATTATATTTTCCAAAAGCAAATAAATGAGGACACACCTTTTATTCAGCAGGAAATCGGTGGCATTTGTTTCTTATGCCTAGCTCTATTATTTGGTGCTGAAAACCCTCGTTCTGTGATGAGGACTTACATCTATGCAGGTTCATAAGCTGCCGACTCAGGGACTTAAGTACCACATGCTGGGAGGAAGATATTCTGGAACAAGACTCATGATCAGGTCAAGGAAGTTCAAACTTTGATACAGAGCATCAACCCTTTGTTTATGAGACCAGGAGCTTTTGTGCAACAAAATAATTATTACCTAAAGTGGCAAAGCAATAGAAAGGGAGATGACATATATATGAGAGCTAAAGATCTATGAGATCAGTCCCCTTGATTAACAAATAAGAAATGATTTTACTCCTCTCATTCCAACTCTCA